TTATTTTTTTTTTTTTTTTTTTATTTAGATTTCTCTTGTTAGAATATTTTAATTACACTTTACTTAGCTTGTCAATAATCTATTTTATGTTTTACTTTCAGAATCATCTTCAGCGGGCAAATCCGGTGGTTGCTTCCCCGCAAAGAGTCTGATCAGAACGGAGTATGGCACAAAGACGCTGGACCAGGTACGTCTGGGCGAGCGCGTCGCTGCTTTGGACTCCCGCGGGAACATCGTGTACAGCGAGGTGATCGCTTTCCTGGATCGTGCCCCGTCCGAGATGCGACAGTTCGTCCGTTTAACGACGGAGTCCCGCCGAGTGCTCACGTTGACGCCGGCGCATCTGGTGCCCGTTGAGGGTAGTTCGTCGATATTCGCCGCCAGGGTACAGCCCGGCGACAGGATCCTCGTGAGCGATGTCGCCACGAGAAACGACACCAGCGGCTATCTACGTTGGGACAAGGTCGTCGAGACGAAGCTGGTGCTCGAGAAGGGCGTCTTCGCGCCGCTGACGACAGAGGGTACGGTCGTGGTGGACGACGTCGTGGCGTCCTGCTACGCCGTCATCGACAGCCAGACGGTGGCGCATTACGCCTTCCTGCCGCTGAGGATCTGGAACAGCGTGACGTCCTTCTTCGTGCAAAGGTTGGACGACGCGCCACGTGTCAGAGGACAAAACGAGGACTCCCAACCGACGAAGGAGGGTGTCCATTGGTACGCGTCGATGCTCTATTCGCTGTCCACCTACGTGCTGCCGTCGAAGATGCTCTACAATTGAAATCTCGCGAACGTTGACAGATGTTGCGCCTCGAGTGCCGAATCGTCGAGGATCAGGCTCGAGTGCTTGGCGTAAGTGATGCGTGTTACAAAGACTTTTCGACACTGGAGCCTCTCGAACTTTAGTGATTTGATTAATCGCCCAAGTGCTGTCGAGGCACTCGAGCCTCTTTCTATTACGGATCGTGGATTCAAATTACACGCGTGTCGTCAAAAATAGTAATGTATAACCGTGACGATTGAATTCCCATTCGTGAGGAAAACGTGTGTATCTAATAAGCAAGGATAAAAGACGTCGTTCTAAACGAGAGAGTTGGCCAGTGAGACCTATCCGTGTTCACCGAATGATGTGTAGTATATTAGAACCATAGGACGATATCTAAAGAAATGAATAAAAAAAAAA